ATAATTACCTGGAAACGCACATTTCCTGTGGTTTACAACTCAATGCTGCCTTCTTGGCTCTACAGAGGAGCTGCAATATTACCAACAAAAATAGATACTGAAAGAGCTTTTCTGTAACAGAGCTTACAGGCAGGCAGCAGGGGGGATGGAGCTGGTATGCTCAAAACAACATCCAGTAGGGTGTTGTGCAATACACAACAGGAGCATTCAGAGCTTTTTAGTGTCATCTGTCCACTCTGAGTTCTGTTGCTTTCTTCACTATGCAGCTCATTCCAGCCTCCGTAGGATGTTTTTATTGCTATACAGTTCCATTGATCCATTTCCTTTACTTCCTGCTAGCAACACTTACTAGCATGCACGAGGATTGCTCTTCTGCACTTTAATTTCATTTCCACTCAATGATAGCAGCCATCCACACTACTGTGGATGCCTTGACCCATCTTTGGTCACTGAACCTTTAATACATGTTCTCCTCGGTAGCAGCCTTAGTGGAGGACATGTAGGAAACAGTGAATTTCTGTTGGAAGCTCTTGTTACAGTTAGGAAAGGCTAACCTAAGTCAAGGATTATGTCTATCACTCAATATGTTATTGGATTTCAGGGGATGCTGCGGAGCCCCCAGTGGCACAATGGGTTAAACCCTTGTGCTGGCAGGACTGCTAACTGAAAGGTCGGTGGTTCGAATCCAGGGAGCGGGGTGAGCTCCCATCTGTCAGCTCCAGTTTCTAATGCAGGGACACGAGAAAAGCCTCCTACAGGATGGCAAAACATCCAGGCGTTCCCTGGGCAATGCCCTTGCAGACGGCCAATTCTCTCAAACCAGAAGTGACCTGCAGTTTCTCAAGTCGCTCCTGAGACAAAAAAAGGGGATGTTGTCATTCAAAAAGAATGGAAGGAATTTAAGTTGTCAACCTCACTATGGCTGCATCTACACTGTATTTATTTATTTATTTATTTGGGGTTCTTTTACCCCGCCCTTCTCACCCCGAAGGGGACTCAGGGCGGCTTACAGAAACAAAGGCACAATTTGATGCCTGTATCATAAAACAATCATACACAAAATTACATCAATTCACAGTTGACATGCATGCATTATAACCATAAAATCAATAAAATCAATAAAACCAAATACAAACCCAATTTCTCCTCTTACATGGTCAGCGTTCGCTAACTCATAGATCTAGTTTTACGTTCCACTTCATCAGTCCTGTTGGTCTTACTCGCCTGATTGTCTGATTTAATTGCCAGAGTGCCCAAAGGCCTGGTCCCATAACCAAGTCTTCACCCTCCTCCTGAAGGCGAGGAGGGATGATGATGCCCTGATTTCCCCCGGGAGTGAGTTCCACAGGTGGGGGGCTACCACTGAGAAAGCCCTGCTCCTCGTCCCCACCAGCCTCACTTGTGACAGTGGTGGGGTCGAGAGCAGGGCCTCCCCAGATGATCTCAGACTCGGGGTGGGACGTAGAGGGAGATACGTTCGGACAGATACACTGGACCGGAACCGTACAGGGTTTGTAGGTCAAAACCAGCACCTTGAATTGTGCTCGGAACTGAATCGGCAGCCAGTGGAGCTGGCACAGCAGGGGGGTGGTATGCTCCCTGTATGTCGCTCCGGTGAGCAATCTGGCTGCCGCTCGCTGGACTAGTTGAAGTTTCCGAACAGTCTTCAAGGGCAACCCCACGTAGAGAGCGTTGCAGTAGTCTATTCGGGATGTAACAAGAGTGTGGACCACTGTGGCCAGATCAGACTTCCCGAGGTACGGGCGCAACTGGTGCACAAGTTTTAATTGCGCAAAAGCTCTCCCAGCCACCGCTGAGACCTGGGGTTCCAGGCTCAGCGATGAGTCCAGGATCACTCCCAAGCTGCGAACCTGCGTCTTCAGGGGGAGTGTAACCCCATCCAGCACAGGCTGTAACCCTATACCCTGTTCGGCCTTACGACTGACCAGTAGGACCTCTGTCTTGTCTGGATTCAATTTCAATTTGTTAGCTCTCATCCAGTCCGACACAGCAGCTAGACACCGATTCAAGGTCTGGACAGCCTCCTTGGTGACAGGTGAGAAGGAGTGACAGATCTGGACATCATCTGCGTAGAGATAACATCTCAGTCCGAAACTCCGAATGATCTCCCCCAGCGGCTTCATGTAGATGTTAAACAACATTGGGGACAGAATCGAACCCTGTGGGACTCCACACGACAACGGCTGTGGGGCCGAACAGGTGTCACCCAGTAACACCTTCTGGGACCGTCCCTCAAGAAATGACTGGAGCCACTGCAAAGCAGTACCCCCAAAACCCATGTCTATGAGGCGTCCCAGAAGGATACCGTGATCGACGGTATCGAAGGCCGCTGAGAGGTCCAGCAGAACTAACAGGGACACACTCCCCCTGTCCAGTTCCCTGCGAAGATCATCTACCAAGGCGACCAAGGCTGTTTCCGTTCCATGTCCCGGTCTAAAGCCAGACTGTGCCGGATCAAGATAATCAGTGTCTACCAGAAATCCCTGGAGTTGTGCTGCCACCACACGTTCCAGGACTTTGCCCAAATAGGGGAGATTGGAAACTGGCCGATAGTTGTCTAATTGAGTGGGGTCCAGTGATGGTTTTTTCAACAGCGGTTTGATGATAGCTTGTTTTAAGCTCGCTGGAATCTTGCCCTCCTGTAAGGAGGCATTAACCACCACCTTCACCCACTCTGCCAAACCCCCTCTGGCTTCTTTTATCAGCCAGGATGGGCAGGGGTCTAGGATGCATGTGGTGGGTCGCACCTCTCCAAGGATCCTGTCCACATCCTCAAGCTGAACCAATTGAAATGAATCCAATAAAACCTGACAAGCAGATGCTCTCGTTACATTCTCAGAGACTGCAGGTAAAGTGGTGTCAAAACCCGACCGAATCCGCACAATTTTATCTGCGAAGAATCGAGCAAACGCTTCACAGCGAGCTCCAGAGCTGTCAGGGATCTCGCTTTTCGGCGGGTTTAACAGACCCCTGACAACTCGGAAGAGCTCAGCTGGACGATTCTTTGCAGATGCAATGTTGGCAGGAAAAGATGTTTTTTGTGCTGCCGCTATTGCCACATCGTAGGACCTTAGAAAGGTATTCAGATGTGTTTGGGCTGATTTAGTCGGATTCCTGCGCCACACGCGCTCTAGCCACCTCTTCTTTCGCTTCATTGCTGCCAGCTCCTCAGTAAACCAAGAGGCCGGGTTAGCTCGGTTACTCGAAAGGGGGCGTTCCGGAGCGATTGTGTCGATTGCCCTAGTCATCTCGGTGTTCCAATGAGAGACCAAGGCATCGACAGGGTCGCCAGTCAAGGAGGTGGGAAACTCCCCAAGAGCCGTCAGGAAACCATTTGGATCCATAAGCCTCCTGGGGCGGACCATTCTAAAGGGTCCACCACCCCTGCGGAGGTTAGGAGGAACAGTAAGTTTAACAGTACTGTAGAATTGAGGCAGTTTGAAACTGTTTAAACTGCCATGGTTCAATGCTATGGGATCCAGGGATTTGTAGCTTAGTGAGACACCAGCACTCTTTGGCAGAGAAGGCTGGACTTTGTAAAATTCCCATGACTCGATGGCAGTCCAGTGAGGTCAAATTGCATTAATTCTACACTGTAGTTGCAGCCTAAGATATTAAATTCTCACAACCATTAAGTGAAAGCTTTGTTGAATAATTTTCCCACAAAAAAGGAAACACCACATATACCTGCTGTTTCAATTATCAAGTTGTGAAAATGTAATTGGATTTTTTTCAATGTTCTTTTTGTAAAGGAAAATGTAACTGTTTTTCCTTACATATTTATCTTCTCTAGATACCTCCACGGTACATTTCTAAATCCTTTCTAATATCAATGACCCCCCCCCCCCTCAAACCACAAAGGACTAGGGTACTAGGGTAGAGTTCTCTTATTCCTCACATATCTGGGTTTTACCTTGATCCTAACGTTACAATTTAATGATACAGTGTTACACTTGCATAACTCCTTCATAGCTGCCATTCTAAGTCTTCTTCTCATTGTTTGACTATAGTCTCCATTCTGGGTAATGACTGAGCCAAGGTATGGACAATCATGAACTATTTCAATGCCTTTATCATCTACTTTAACATTCTGTAAACCATCTGGGGTCATTATTGTTGTTTCCTAAATGTCCAATTGTAATCCCCTTTTTTGGCACTTTCTTCCTCGATTTTCTTCAGAAATCATTCTAAGTCTTTCCAATGTTTGTTCATATTTTCCTCTTTATCTTGTCCTATGATGGTAACCAGCCTCAGGGGGCTTTTGTGATATTTCCATGGCCCTGTAACTTTTTGCTGTCCGTGGAAGATGGATAGCTTTAAAAAGCGATCTGATGAGAACCCCACTGGAAATGCCTATCATGGCAAAATGGATATAGTATTCTTTTATTTTTATTGCACACTGAACATATATATGTATTCAATTGGGTTTTGCTCTCATTTTTAATCCCCGTAGCACAACCACATCCATAGAAGTGCTTATGTATGTACCAACACTGTAATTTGTTTAAACTGAAGCTATGTGCTGGCAATTTTTATATTCTTCTGAGCTAATCACTGTTTTACAACAATGCAGGAATGAACAGGCCTAGCATATGCTTGTTACCATCATTCCCCCACAAACAACAACAGGAAAGCAAATTATAAGATCTGGAGGACAAAGCTAGTCTCCTTTAAATACAGAATTGTGAAATTTAATATAATGTCACCATACAGCCCCAAACAAACACAGTCTTGTTTAACTTTGGAAACTAAGTGAGTTTGGGTTGAATATTATTTGGAACACTACGTTGTACTGTACTGTAAAGGAGCAGTAGCTCAGCTGAAGAGTATGTGCTGTGAATGCAGAAGTTCCAAGCAGAATCCACAACATCTCGCAAATGGACTAAGAAAGAAACCTTGTCTAAATCCCCAGAGAGCTCCTGCCAATCATAGTTGATAATACAAGCAAAGGCACGCAAAAGAGTATGGAACGCAAGAGATTTTTAAAAGGAAAGGATTTTATTCCAAGCAAGAAATATATATTAGCAAAAAGGCATATTTTACATGATGACCCTTCCTTCAGGTTCACATGGAAAAGTTACAAGAAATTTGCTATCCACTGGGGTTAGATTCCAGGGTCCCACGTGGATGCCAAAATCTGTGGGTGCTTAAGTCTCATTATAAACCATAATCTAGTAAAATGTTGTCCTTTATACAAAATGGAAAAATTAGGGTTTGCTTCTAGAGTTTTTTTTTTCTTCTGGGAAATATTTTAAAGTCATGGATGGTTAAATGTGTAGATGCAGAATCTGGATATGGAGGGCTGACTGCAATTCCTTAATGCAAACTAGATCAATATTTCTATGCTACTCATGATAACAGGTGGCTGTTCAATGATTTCTGATGTTCATGGGAGGAGGAAATTGAGAATCTAGTCATTGTGCTTCAGGAAAACCAACCTTCACTATAGGTTAGCTTCCTTGACTCTCTTTGTTCTCGCTTTGCTGTATGCCCACGTGGGATTTTTGTACCCCTCCTTAGTACTTGAGATCATCCACTCAACTGTGATGCTCAGATAATGGGAGAGCAAATTACTGAAAAGCTAAGAAGCAAAAAACTGGGGAGCATCCGGTGGAACCACAGGAGAAACAAAAATCACATCTTAGGTTGCTGAAAAGGAAGATGTTTATTAGTAGGAAATGCATACATTTAAGACCTTCAGGGGACTACAGACAGTCTCCTGTATCTGCAGGAGATTGGTTTCAGGATTCCTTGTGGATCCAAAAATCTGCAGATGAACAGGTCTCACATACAGTGACAAATGAATGAAACACAAGGTTGGAGAAAGTTGTGAGGTTGGAGAGAGACCAAGGATCTGTGAAAGGGAGAAAATGTGGATTCATACCAAGCCATTTGCCAGACTTGCTTCTCTTGCCAGACTCCTCTCTCTCTCTCTTGTTCACTATTTATGTTGCATACTGTGCTATGTATATAAAATTTGCAAATCTGAGCCTGCAGATCTGAAAAGCCGATTGTACTTAGAATAAAGAAAAAACCGAACCAGGAACTCGCAAACACTTGTATTGTTGTGGTGCACCTTTCAAGTCATTTCTGACTTCGGGTAACTATGAAGTGAATCTATTAAAAGTTTTCTGGGGGGCAAGATTTGTTCAAAGGGGCAATTCTATCAAGAAACAACCGTTTGTGAGCATCTTGATACATGTCTCTTGCTTCTGTTGCAGATCAGATAGTCAAGCATCCTTCTAAATGCAATTAAACAGCAGCAATGAAAACAAAATACAAGATAAGGAAGGCAATGCTGAATCTCAAATAGTCTTTTAAAAGAGAACTGTAAATTACAATTTTATTCCCTATCATTTCAGCTGCATTGAATTATTAAAGTCCTCGGAACCCCTATACCAGCAAAGCTTTTACAGTTGGACTTCCACCTCTATATGTCATTTTTATTCTGATTACAAACTGCACATTTTCAGCCTTGTTTTTTGGAAGATGACTTTAGAAAGAACATGACTGATCAGCAAATCTCATTAGGCATGAAGAGGTGTTGCAAAGGATGTAACTGGTAGAAGGAAGACAATCTTAATACACAGAAGGTGCTAAGACGGCAAAGGTAATTGACTGTTTCTTTTACAGATTCAGGACTTATAGTCTTTCGAAGACCACGAGAGATCTTCACCACCTGGAGTGTGAATGTAGAGGCATCCTTCTGCAAATGTAAGGAGAATTCCAGTGAGTAATGGGAAAAATGGAAGTCTTCAATTGAGGCTTTATGGGATTTGGGAGAGAAATTATAATCCAAATATAGCAATAACTTTCTTGGCAACTTGGTATAATTATAACCTGAAGGAGAAAAAACCTGACACAGTTGTTCATTACACATGATAAAAAAACCCATCATCCTACCCAGTCATTACACAGACACATGGTGTTTGTCGCTAGTGTTCTTTCAAGTTTAAGATGCAGGTTTGAAGATAATTGATTTCACATATGACAATCCTAGTTAAACAATTCACAGTATCAATATTTTGAGCCCTGGTTGTTATTTTCATGGCAATTCACTTACTATTGTAGTATGTGTATTTGCTGAAGAAAATATCGTTCTCTTCTTTAGCCCAGAAGCTGTACGTAATAAGCACTACTAATAAAAGTAACTATGGTGCTTGCTTGGAAGTAACAGAAAAGAATGTTAAATCTACTATCAATAATGTATTTATTAATAGATCATGTCTGCCATCCTGGTAAGGGTAGTATGGGTCTTGGGACAAATGGCAAGAGGACTGCCTAGGAAAAAGTTTCTATATGGATTTACTCTACTTGTACTCAGAGAATAAACTGCTGAAGCTCAGAGTTTGCATTCCTCAGGATCATATCTTCCAAATTGTCTTCCCTTCTTTTAAAACTGTATTTCAAACTCTGGAGAGAATGCCATTCCTCATAGTGATTAACTTATTAAAACTCCTATCATGAGATCATACTCTCTTTCTTCCTCTTCCCACCTTCTTATCTTGCTTATATTCTTTCAATCTAATTTCAGGCACAACAATGACTCAAGGTAAACAGAAATAAATGGAGAATGCAGTTGGAAGACATTAGGGAGCAACAAGATTCCCCCCTCCCCATTTCAAGCTAAATAATGTATTATATTATCATTCCTCTCTCCATCTAACCCTTTTAATAAGGCAAGATAGAAAACTCAGCAGAGTCTTTGACAGCAATGAAAACTTTAACCAATGGATAGCTCTATGAAAAATTTCCAAGACTTCTTTATTCTGAAAGATGTTCTAGAGATGATTGACACAAAGAGCTTGTTAAAATTTAAGTCAACCTGCAGGGGAAGGACTGACAGTTGTAGATGCCAAGTTGCAGCATCTTTTCCTGCACAACTAAAAAAAAAAAAGAGACAGCTCCAGCAATAATGCTGTTGCTTTTGTTTGCCTTCAACTCATTTCTGACTTACGGTGAGCCTAAGGTGAATCTTTCATGTGGTGTTCTTGGTAAGATTGTTCAGAAGGGGTTGCCTTTGCCTTCGTCTGAGAGTCTGTGACTTGCCCAGGGTCACCCTGTCAGTTTCCATGGCTGAACAAGATTTCAAATTCTGGTCTCCAGAATCATAGTCCAATGTTCAAACCACTATACAACATCTGAACTGGGATTGTTTCTTTATTTTAAAAAAAGATTGCTGTTAGTTTTATGAGGCTTACAAGGAGGAGGAATAGTAGTTGGTAATACTACCATTATACCTCTGACTAATAGCTGCCATCCGTATCCATGCCCTGCTTACCCCACCAGCTCAATAGATATCTTGAGCAATGATTAATTGATTTGCCCCAAAGAAATGGGAAATTATTGTTTCCATTTGATGTTTGGCGTTTTGTCTTATGTCTGTTATAACAGGCTGTGCTTTTTATTTAATTTTAGTTTGTTAAGTTATAATTTGTATTTATATGTTGGGTTGTATAAATTTTGTTAGTATGAATGTATTGTTGTTGTATTCGGGCATTGAATGTTTATCTTTTATGTGTGGAATCTGCTCTGAGATCCTTTGGGGAGATAGAGCGGAATATAAATAAAGTATTATTATTATTATTATTATTATTATTATTAATAATAATAATAATAATAATAATTATTATTATTCAACTTTGTTGTGGGACTCCATTGTCAATGACTTTCTGTATTCATAAAAAAGACCGAATCTTCTTTCAAATCATCATTTTAAGGATCAATCAGTAACTAAGAGCTACACTGACCACTTAGATCGGTTTGGGAGGAACTGGCTTTGCCAGGCCAGTGATTAGGTTGACTTATATGAAGCTGGTTTGAGATCAGGTAGTTGATTGCATTAATCATGGAACTTGGCTTCAAACCATTCTGTGTCTCCCCACCCCCCACCCCAATTTAAGGATGAGATGCAAATAAGTGCTCTAAGGCACAGGAGATGAAAAACAAAAAGAGTGGAAGCAATTACCCCTCTGAGGGGATCAATTAGCCCCCAGCTAGCCAGCCATGCCCCTGGGAATTTTTTCAACAACCCCTGAATCCCACAAAGTACATTAGAGAAGGCAGGTGTCTACAATGTGCTTTGCATCCTGCAGGAATGATTTTGCCCCATGATCTGGGATACGTTGGGATCTGTAGTAGCACACTAAAGGGATTTTTTGAGATTACCTTAATGCCCTGTAAACCTTTTAATCATGCGGCTGCATGCACTGGTGATGTGCCTTTTGTAGCCACTTATTTCAAGTAATCTTGAAGCTGTATTAAATAGTCAGTGTAGATGAGGCCAGAGTAATCAATTCTGTATAACTAGGCAACCATGACACAAAACAGCTTGGATTCTACGTGTGATTTCACACATAATATTTTCTAATGAAATGATTCTTACAAAGAAGGATGAATGAATGCAATTGATATCATTTTAATTCCCTCATAATATGTTTGCTTTTTTAAAGGAGCTTGCTTCCTGTCACAACAGAGATACAAATACCTTAGTTTGGTTCTCAATTTGTCCTTTCCATATGGTTCAACAAAGCACATGCACCAAGAAAGCCCTGTTATTTGTTTATACTGCTTTATTTGCCAAAATGAGACATTGAAAGTCCCAAAAATATGCAAAGAACATATTTACAATAATTACAGATGAGAAGAAAGTTTAAAAAAACCGCTCTGATTGATTCCAGGTCAGGAAAATACTCCTTTGACATGCTGTTGCAGAAGAGTTGGTCTTTGTTTTATTTAGCAGCAACTAGAACTATCACTAGCTTGCTTTATGAAGATGTAATTAGTAATTTCATGTTGGAAGGGGAGAGACTATCACGGGATTAAAATGGGCAGACTTTGATGAAACCTCTGTAGTCTGGATTCCTATTTTTTCCTCCCTCCCTCTTGGACTAACCATCTTTAAGGACATCCCATTTACCAACAAGGTCCCCCCCCCCCCCCCCATGAGTCTTTCACTAAATATCCCACATCATTCTTTACAATACAGATTCTCAGTACCTCAGACCACAGTCTGGTAAAGAGCATTATTTCAAGTTTAGGCTTAACGGTTGGCCTTGGCACCAAACATAAAGAAACTTAGCAGGAAAATTAGAATACATCAGAGGTGATGGGAGGGGGAGGAGGGTGAAAAAGCTCATAAAACAAGTTCCATAAATTAAGGCCATGCACGGGTATCCTAGAAACAAGAAAGAGCTCAGCGATGACACAAGCAAGCCACGCCATGCATAAAAAGCAAATCTTTGGAGCTGCTTTCCACCTCATGTACCATTCCAAGCATATCTGTGTGAAAGTGCTGGGGAGCAAGCTGGAAACAGCACAACCCAAGAGAAATAATTAAGAAATGAACTCTACTAATTCAGTGGCATCTGTCCCAAAAGGGAACAAAGTGCCCTTTGTGAAACGTTCTCCACAGCAAGCCTCCTAGAGTTTGAACTGTATCCATGGCCTCTCCTGGAATTAAACCCAAAGCAAGACTTTATTGTTCCCTTTCCTTTGACTACTGCAAGGGGGGCCGGGATCCCAAGAGGTTTTAAAATATTACTGATCAGCCAGTCCTGGCTGAATTTTTCCCAGCACATGAATCAACTTTATTGCATTAGTGTTATTGAGACATAGACAATATCAAGGAGTACAAGCAGGGTGACAGTGTAAAGAAATATTTCTCAGCAGCAGTTTTGCTGTCGTAAATAGGTTGGAAACGGATGCACTTCCATTTCCTTCAGAAAAAAACAGCAGTATAAGAATCGTAGACACTTTTTAGATTCCCTCTGGAATTTTGAAAAAAACAACTTACTATATATGCCACTTAACATGCATGGGATCTCAGATTTCTAGGAAGGAAAGGCATTTAGAAAGGCATTTGTCTGGCATTTTGAGATATAACTGTGATATTTTAGTGTAAAATTAAGTATCAGTGTAGTCCTGCAGTTGATGTGAGAAATATGTACACCATATTAGAGGCAATTTCTTGATTGAGGTCCTATGCTTAAAAAAAGAAAAAATATGGGAGGAACCAAACTTTCAATGGATTTCAGAGGGAACGGAGTTCAACTAAATTAGTGTAGATCCAGCCTCAAGTGGTTCTGGCTTGATCTCTTGAGCTCTTTCACAATGAGACACATTAGAATCAGTACTTGCAAGAGCGCACAAAATAAATGAGTTAGTATCTTTTGTGGCTTTCCATTTTTTTTTGTTGTTTATGAACCATTCAGTACTCTTTTCAATAATGATGCCAGAATGAGAATTAGATTTTTTTTTCTAACATCACAAAGACCATCAGGTGAACTATGCTCACTATCTCATTTCTGTGGGATTTTTTTTTCTGACCATAGAACACAGCGCAATATGTTCTCACCTCATTTTATCTTACTGACACACTTTGTGAGACCCCATGGGGAGATGGGGTGGGATATAAATAAAGTTTTGTTGTTTTGTTGTTGTACAGTAAGAACTAATGTCATGCTCAAGACAACCAACAGTAAGATTCTTGGCTGAGTAACCTTTGAAATCGAATTGTAAACAAAAGCAAAAAAGAAAAATCCACATCAGCTATTATGGAAATGTATTGTAGATCTCATCTGCAATTCCTAAATACAAATACCTGTTTAGACTCTCCAGTATCCTTGCTACTCCCCTCTGCTCAACAAGGTCCATTGGCCAATGATGGATCATCATCACTGTCTCTCCTGTTTCTTTGGGGAAGATTGGGAGGAGGATTCTGGTCAGGCCTAGATGAAAGAGAAATGGAGAATAACCACAGATGTCCTTAAGTTTGTGAATGTGTGGATTGTGATCGGTGGTGTAATGTTAAGGTCTGTTGTGACCATAAATCAATATTACTGCCAATATAAAGCTAACAGAGTACAACAGGCATGCTTAAAGGGTATGGTCAAAATCACATTAGGCATGATAACTGCAGGCAGCAACAAATTCTGAGCAATAAACAAATGGATACACACTGTTCCGATTGAATAAATACGGTAAATTAGTAGCTGCAAGTCAATGCATAAATGTGCATCTCTTCTTTACTATGACATCCACGTGCCTCAATGGAAGAGGAATAAAACTGCTTACTGCTAATGCTAAAAAGCACCCCCTGGCTTAAATATTAGCAGATCCCAAAGTTAGACTGAAAACTGGCAGCTGCTTCACAGAGATTAACAGATTCCCCCGTTTCCTAGTGCATTGGCTTGGTTGTGCATTACACAAAGTTTTATACACTATTCTTAAATAGCTCAGTCCCACTAGCTTCACAAAATTTCCAGTTTACTTAAAGAATTCTTTTAAACCCTTAATTAAATGTTAATGTAACCATCTTGATTTATATCTTCCTGAATTGTCTCTTTCTAAGCAAGGTTGAGCATTCCTTAATAAAAAGAAGAAAAAAATCACATTTAATAGAAAATTAGAAGAATAAAGGAATAGAAGTTACCTTATATAAAATTAAACTATGTATCTGTTTAGCACAGTTTTCACTAGTCTGACCAGCTGTGATTCTTTGGCACAAGGACTCACTATTACCTACTATTTTATCTTTTTAACTGGGGATTACAGGGACTTAAACTGGGAATTTCTGCATCCAAAACATGTGTTCCTAGTTTTGAGCTATAACTTCTTTGCACTATACAAAACTGTGAGCTCTAGGCATACATGCTTCTCCTTCAGCCCTCCCTTTTCAAACATTCTCATTTTTCAACAAACTACAGTTTCCTATAATATCAAAATACAATGAAGTATGGTTTAAACTACAATTTCAGAATAACACAAAAATAAAGATATATTTCAGATCCTAGTCCCCCCCTCCCCCATATTTAGAGTTTAAGCAAACCAACAGTTTCGAAGGTATGGACACTGTGGTAAACTGTGATAAGTTTAAAGTGTCAACATGAGATTTCTGCTATCTCTGAATGTGCAGGTAAGGTCAAATACAGGAGGTATCCATAGATGTCCATTACATCTGAATTAAATTGTTCTGTGAACAAATTATGTTGTTCCTGTGAAGATCACAGAATTGTCATTTCATGCATAATGGCAATGGTTTCCTATTATGCACACTATCCTGCTCATGTTTCACAGCATAGCATCCCTCAATCTTCTTTCCTTCATTTTTTGGCATCTGCATTATTGCCCCTTTGCCTATTTCTGCTTTTATTTGCATTTGGGAGAGAATTTTTCATTCTTACTGTCTTATACTTTCAGGTAACCATGCCAAAACTGTACATGGCCCCTTTAAAACCATTATTATCACAAAGGTTCTAACACATTTAAAACAGAGCAAATGGGATGGAATTGGGAAAGCACAGTCAAAAGAGTGAGGATGAAGAGATGGAGAAGGAATAGCCTCTTGCATATTATAAGCTGCAACATAAACAGCTTATTCAGCATTAAGCCCAAGGTTTAATAAAGGCAGACCAGATGGCCATATGCACATCTTTATACTACTGCTTGCAAGCCACTAGCTCACTGAAACATTAGAAATTCATTGAAAGATGAACCTTGTTGAGGAAAGCCCTGAAAATATGTTTTAATTAGGAATCACAAGGAAGATTTACACAAAGGCAAACATTTTAAGGAAAAACAAAAATTAAAGGTAGCAAAGGAGAGGAATATGTTTTCCAATGATGACTACTAGTGCTAAGGGTCTTCAGGGTCAGATGAACACCTACTTTATGTCATTAGGTGTTTTTAGCCCATATACTCCACTATAGAAAGAAAAATGTTAGAAAATATGGAATCCTAGAATCCTCTGTTACTAAATTCACCCTGAACAAGGCTTAGTGATATATAGTAAACAAAACCAATATCCTTGAGACACCTATGGGCATAGGAATATTATTATTTACTTTAGACTGTAAGAGTTTATCAGATAAGAGCCAAGTGCTATCTAACTCAATATCCTGAGTTGTCTTTTAAACTATTGTCTTCCATCCTAGAAGACTTTTTTTTTTTTGCAACAGCCATTCCCTTTTCTCATGGAAGCCACAGACAGGGGTACTGTAGATTCTCTAGGAAAAAGAAATGACTACGGTATCTATATATATAAATTTGTTAGGGGCATCCAACGAGGAAACAAAACTCAAAAACCCCCCAACGAAACTTAACCAAAATTCCCATGCCCATAACACAACCCACAAGGTACAAACATATCTACTCAAAATGAAAAACAACACAACAACACACTCACAAAACGGCAAAACAACAAAACTCAAAAATCCCCCAACGAAACTTAACCAAAATTCCCATGCCCATAACACAACCCACAAGGTGCAAACATATCTACTCAAAATGAAAAACAACACAACAACACACTCACAAAACGGCAAAACAACAAAACTCAAAACCCCCAACGAAACTTAACCAAAATTCCCATGCCCATAACACAACCCACAAGGTACAAACATATCTACTCAAAATGAAAAACAACACAACAACACACTCCAAAACGGCAAAACAACAAAACTCAAAAAAACCCCAACGAAACTTAACCAAAATTCCCATGCCCATAACACAACCCACAAGGTACAAACATATCTACTCAAAATGAAAAACAACACAACAACACACTCACAAAACGGCAAAAGAACAAAACTCAAAAAAAACCCAACAAACTTAACCACAATTCCCATGCCCATAACACAACCCACAAGGTACAAACATATCTACTCAAAATGAAAAACAACACAACACACTCACAAAACGGCAAAACAACTGAGCATGCGCATTGGCGCCCAGCCGCAAGTTCCCTGGCGCGCGCACACAGCCTTCCGGCCAACGTTCCCTCTGCGGAAGCCATGCCCACTCCAAGCCCCGCCGCGCCGCTTCCCGCACACACACACACCCTGCCGCACACACACACAACCCCACGCTCCATCACTCCCCCCGCCGCCGCACACACACACGCAACCCCACTCCCCCGCCGCCGCACACACACACGCAACCCCACTCCATCACTTCCCCCCGCTGCCGCACGCACACACGCAACCCCCACTCCCCCCGCCGCCGCACACACACAGCAACCCCACGCTCCATCACTCCCCCCCCCCTGCCGCCGCACACACAAACGCAACCCCACGCTCCATCACTTCCCCCGCCGCCGCACATACGCACACAACCCCACGCTCTATCACTCTCCTGCCCCAATCTTACCTCCTTTTACTTCACGCCACCTCCAAACCCCACCCGCCCCTTCCCGCCCTGTCAAAATCTAGGAAAGACAGGAAGGAAGGAAAGAAGGAAGAAAGAGAAAGGGAGGTAAAGAAAAAGGGGGGAGGAAGGAAAGTTAGAGAAAGAAGGAAGAAGAAAAGGAAAGAAAAGGAAAGATGGAAGGAAAGAAAAGAGAGACAGCAGAAAAGAAAGAAAAAGGGGGAAGGAAGGAAAGAGATAGAGAAAGAAGAGGAGAAGGAAAGATGGGAGGGAAGGAAGGAAGGAAGGAGAAGAAGGAGAGAAAGAGGGAAGATTGGCCACAGCAACACGTGGCGGGTAAAGGTTGTTATTTCTATTATTATTATTATTATATTATTATTATTATTATTATGCTATTGTTCCTGTGAGACCCTGGAGGAATGGGAGAGGTGTCAGGTCCCAGAGGCAATGCATTGCATTATTGTTATTGTTATGATGGTGGTAAAATAAAAGGAAATAAAAAGTGAAAGAAGGAAGCAAACAGGGAGGGAAGAAAGGCAAAGGAAGAAAGGGTGAGGGAATGAAGGAAAGAGAGAAGGATGAAACCAAGTAGTGAAAGAAAGAAAGAGGTAGAGAAGGAAGAAAGGAGAGAAAGGGGGAGGAAAAGGGGGAAGGAATAGGTAGGGACCTCTCTTTCATAATACTCCAGATATCTACCTCAACTTTGATAAGTTTTACTATAGGCCACAGCAACGCGTGGCAGGGCACAGCTAGTAACATATAGAACAATGGTATCAGAGTTCATGGATTAAAAGAAGCCCACACAAGATTTCTTTTAATCCATCTGGGAGTTCATTTGGAGCTCATCTTATTCCATTAATTGTTTTCTTCCCTGTATAATGAATTGTATCAAACACACATGTAAGTTGAACACAAGCATGCACTTCTGAACATTCTATTATGTCTATACAAGGTACAAGCAAACAGCAGTCCAGGGGCATTGGTATCTCCCCTACCCCCAACACACAGCTGTTTTAATTGGTCACAAATCCTCCAGACTACACATATTACCCCTTTTCTGCTTCCTCCAAATGTGAGTTGCTTCTATTGAAAGCCTGCAGGAAAGGCAATCTAGGGGCTGACTTGATGGTTTAACATTAAAAAATATTTTCCCCCAAAGTCAGAAGAATACTTCTTGCCACTTCATTTTTTCCACCCAGTGTATGCCACTTTTGGCAGCTGTATGGCCTTGGGGAAAGCCTGGGAAAACTTTCTAAGTTGGGGGCTGCATGCTAGCTGTCCTTGCCAGGAGGCCTGGCTTCCTAGTGATGGAAAGAAGGAAAGGAAAGAGGAAAGAAAGAGAGAAGGAAGAAAGGCCGAAAGGAAGAAAAGGATGGAAGGCGAAAGAGGGAGAGAGGGAAGAAAGGAAGGAAAGATAAAAGGGAAGGAAGGGAGGAAGGAAAAAGAGAAGGAAGGAAGAAAGGGAGAAAGAGAAGGATGGAAAGAAGGGAAGGATAAAAGGAAAGAGAGAAGGAAAGAAAGACAAAAGGGAAGGGTGAGAGAGGATGGCCTGAGAAAAGAGCCCAAGGGGCTGCATCTGATCCCT